CAAAATCTATCAAAATTAGGTACTAACAGATTGTAAGGGAGGTTAGGGGCGAAGAAGAAACGGTGAGATGGGAGCGGACGATTGAGGCGAAGAAGAAACGGTGATGATCGATGGGAGCGGACGATTGAGATCATTTTGGATGCGAGCGGGAGTGCCGTTCATTTGTTCATTGAACAGTAACATTTTGCTTTGTTATTATTTATGTATAGATATAGATGTGACATATAAGTAATGAGGACATTCACTTGTAGGCCACAAAACTAGAATGCTCACTACATTACATTATTGGGGAGCTAATCAGGACATTCACCGGTAGGCCACAAAACTATAATGACTCCATTACATTATTGGGGAGCATGGCCTGTTACGGAGTATGGCCTATTAGAGAGTACTCTAAGAGGGAGTGGGAGTCTTATCATGTTTTTTAATGCGGGTGATCTTATCTTGAACCAGTAACACTGAAATTCATTGAATTGGTTGATTCCGCTGAAACATATGAAGTTCTCTTTAAATTGGTTGGATTAGTTGATTTTGTTGATTCATGAAAATTTTATATTTAAAATTTTTTTATTAATAAAACAAAAAAAATATATATGAAAAATAGCTAAAATGATCCTTTACAGTAACCACAATCAATACAATCAGAAAAGTAACTCCAATCTTAGTTTTTCTTATTAGGGAAAAGTATAGAAAAGGTACATGTGGTTTGGGCTATTTTCAAATAGAAGCACATCTTTTATTTTTTAACAAAGTGGGACATGTGTTTCAATTTCGTTATCATAGTTGGGGCAATGACGTCTAATGTCGTTAGAAAAATTAACTTCGTTTTTGAAAAGTCTCCGTAAAATTAAAAGAAAAATACTAAGAGGTGCGCCTCGTAAAGAAGCCCTCCAGATCATCTTTCTTTTTTGTTTCTAGTAACTCTGTCGCCGGAAAGTCCATCGGAAAAGTGATATTAGCGAATTCGTTTTAAAAAAATAATCCAAATAGATCTGAAAAATCCAAAGAGAACTATAGTTTGTTGATCTTCTTGACGAGTCGCACCTCATAGTATTTCCCTTTTCACTTTTCGAGGACCTTTTGAAAATTGGAGTTAAGTTTTCTAACGGCATGAGACACCATGTTCCAGTTGTGATAACAGAATTGAAACACATGTTCCACTTTGTTAAAAAATGAAACGCGTGCCCCAATCTGAAAACGGCTCAAACCACAAGTACATTTTCCGTACTTTTCCCTTCTTATTACTACACAATCTAACGCGTGAAATCAAAAGTTACGTGTTTGGTGAAAAAGTTGACCGATAAGCCTGATAACCCAAAAAAGGATCACCAAACAGGCTCTAATACTCCATATTAAAAGCTGGTTGAAACCCCATGGTAAAAAAAAGCCAATCAAATTTGAAGTAAAATCTGATTGTAGAATAAGGAGTCAAATAGGTCTATACTAGGGGTAGGCATATCGATTTTCGGTTCAGTTTTTATCGGTTTGGCTCCAATTCGGTTTAGAACGTGTAGGAAGAATTATTACCAAACAAAAACCATACTATTTTTCGGTTTGGTTAGATTTGGATTTGTTAATTTTAAATAATATATGAAGGTCTTATTGAATTTCTTTAGTTTGGTTTGGTTTTATTCAGTTTTTATCGATTCCAGTTCGGTTCAGTTTAATATGGTTTGAAATAAATACTACCAAATCAAACCAAATTGCATATGATTCGGTTTCAATTCGTTTTAGTTCAGTTTGGTATGGTTCGGTTAAACCAAAACAATATGCCCACTGCCCTAGTCTATAGTTGTTCAATTTACAATCAATATAAATAGTCTTTTACACTTCTTCTGTTCTTTTTAGTTGTAACAGTTTAATTTTCACGTATGTCAATGCACAAATTTAATCCATTAATATATTTCACTCTTTATTAATAAAAAAATTAAGAAATCATTTTTTGAAAATTCAAAATGAGAGGATTTTAACAATATTTTCCAAATATTTAATTTATAAAACATTAATGAATAAAATTTCAAAGTACAACACGTGAAAAGTGTAAAGTTCACCATTATTGTCACTAAAAAAGAAACTGAGGTAATATATAAATAAAAAATGTGCCATTATGACCATCATTAATGTTTTAGTAGACTTTTCTGGTGAGAATTCAAAAATAAAAATGTAACTCTGACGAAAATTTTTGATGACTAGCCGCGACGGTTTCTGACAGCAACTGCCGACAATTGTTACAGAACGAGGCAGTGGAGTAGGGGTGCATAGTGTGGTATGAATTGGAACTAAAAGAAATGTATATTAATTAAACAAAGATTAGTCACATTTGAAAAATAAAAAGTAGTCATATTTTCTCTTTCAAAAATGTAGGTGTAATGTTTTTTGCGATTTTTTCTTATAAAAAGTCTGGACTGTACTACCAAGTAAACCAAGAGCATCCGCAATGTGTGATAGTGTAGTATAGAAAAATGACAAATTACACAGTGAGATCGTTACATTGTGTAAACTGTGTACCATCCCACTTCTGAGTATACAACTCTACATAATGCATATTTGCACTCTTTTTTCTGTGTAGTGCATTACTTGTTCAATTTTTATTGGCTTCTTTTTTTCAATTCTTCCCCCCCTCCTCCATCAAAGTATTAAAAATGTAATCACAATTTTATAATCTTCAAATTAAATTACAACTCGATCTATTGTTTTAATTCTTTATCTATTCATAACATAAAATTATTAATCCAAATAAAATAAGCATATTGCATTTTCTATTCATACCCTATTTTTATTTATGTAATATGTTTTTTATATCTATACAATTTTTGTAGTATATTTTTATATTCAAATTTTTTATATAATTTTTTTCTCTTTTATATGTTTTAAAGGGTTTTTTAAGAAATTGAGTTTATTTATTTTGATTTTCTTACATTTGATAATATATGGCGTTATATCTTCTTATACACGATTTACATCTTCGTTTGCGCGAGTTACATCTTCTTATGGAATTATATGTAGTACATCTTCACTATTTATGTTAAGTAATTGAGCTATTAGATTCCTTTCGCATTCTTTACATTGAAATCAATGTTTTATTTCATATATTCCGTATTAGATGATTTACATTTCGACTTGTGCCGTCAGCTACATATCTCATCAACGTGAGTTACATTTCCTTAAACGCGAGTTAGATCACCTTGGTACTGGAAAAAAAATTATTGTTCATGGATGTTACTGTTTATACCTATTTTAGTTGTGAGCAGGGGCGGAACTACCAGGGGGGCCAGGGGGGGCGGTGCCCCTGCTTCGGCCGCCGGAGGTAGGGTATATATAGGGGTTTTGGGGGCCGCCGGGGTCGAGGGTGTCCGTTGAAGTTTCCGGCAAACTGGGTTTGGAGCTGTGTTGTTCGTCCAGCGCTGCTGCAGGGAAAAGGAAGACCACTTTTTTCATTAAACTGGACGACGTCGTTCTGATGTTGCTTGGGGAAAATAAGGGCCAACCGTGTGAAGCCCAAAGCCTGGAACTACTGCAGCCCAAAGAAAGTTGTTCGGCACTGTGTGGTATCTCATATGCAAACAAAAGGAAGTTCCGCACTTCCCATTTCCCACCTGGCCTCAACAATTCAGCAATTCTTCCCACTACAAAAAAATTACGGGATTGGCACGAACTTACCCATTTTTCGTGCCAAATAGCTCGTGCCAAAGTGTTTTTGGCATGAATTTGGCATTTTCCTGCCAAAATCCCTGTCGAATCCCTGCCAAAATCAATGTCAATCCCGTGGTATTTTTGTAGTGTTCGCCGCTCCACAGACCACCAGTGTCGCGCCGTCGCAGACTCGCAGTCAGGCCCGCCAGACGCCGGTCAAACCGCCACGGTGCCACACGGATCGCCACTCCACCAGTCGCCAGTTATGTGATTGTGCCCCTGCTTAATTTTTTCTCTAGTTCCGCCACTGGTTGTGAGAATACGATGTTTATCAACTCCGGGATTATAACAACTCACAAAAGCATGTCAGCTCACTAAAGTAGGCATCTTATATACTTCGTACGTAGTATGGAGTATACTCCCTCCGTCCCTTAAAACTTTGCCATCTTTCCTTTTTGGGACGTCCCAAAAAACTTTGCCACTTTCCCTTTTAATCAATTATTTTGTGGTTTCTGTTTTTTCTCTCTCCTCTGCACAAATCTCAACCACACAGTTTTTACTTTATTATTCTCCGTGTCGGTCAACTTTGACAAAGTTTTAAGGGACGGAGGTAATATTTTTCCATCGAATGCATGTTGTCTTCTATATGCTTTTGATGAATTGGCAAAAAATGAATATACACCGAGAGGGTAACTATTTGAGTATATAAAGTGGTAAATTTACCTACCGGACAAAATTAAAATAAAATGGTTGATGAAAATTAGAAAAAAACTACAAAAAAATGGCGTTTTGTGGTCTCTTTGTCCAAAGCATCGAAATATTTAGTTAATCTTTTCCTGTAGTAACTCATTCAATCATTAGGCACGCATACAAATTTTTGGATCTCTCCTAGGTATACACCTTGTTGTAAACTAGTCTTTCTCACCCACAAATAATTGTTTGTTCATAAACAATTCTACATAATGTTCTGTGACAGACAATTTTATGTGCGTGAGACATACAAATGTATAAAATATGTATACCAAAATGTGTACACAAAACATTTTTCAAATTATTGTTGGAAAAGTAGCGGATAAACACCGGAGCGTACGCACACATATGGAGTACGTGTGATATTCATGTAATTTCCGATTGTATGTTTGTATTTTTAACTAGTTTTTATTAGTTCTAGTTGAGGAAATTACGCACTTTTGGTGTAATACTTTATTTTTATATTTATTTGTAATTTGTTTAGATTAGAATTTTTCTAAGCTAAACAAGTCAAAGATCATCCAAGGGATCAAGATTGGATCTTAAAAGATCAAGGAAAGTGCAAGGAGGCAAGAAAGATTTCGATTTGGAAAAAATACTCATGTACCCGGTCGAGTATTGCCTATACCCGATCGGGTATTTGCTTGATTCGATTGTCCAAATCAAATCCGGGAACAAATGATCGTGGGAGCAAATTTTCGTAAAGATTCGTCACATACCCGATCGGGTATGCCCAGAAAAGTGAATTTCTGGGAAATTTCCTAAGATACCCGGTCGGGTATCCTATATACCCGGTCGGGTATCAGACCCTGCAGCTCCCAAAAGCCTATAAATACACTCCTTTCCTTCACAATAAGGGAACCAATTCCCATATACTTCTAAGCTCAGTCTAGAATAGTTCTTTCTTTATATTTTCATCATGTTTAGTCTCCAAATGAGGAGCTAAACTCTTCCATCTTGGTTTTGCTACTTTAAAGCTTAATGAATTTGTAAGTTGTGAGTTATTCTCTTTAATTTTCTTCCTTGAATATTAATTCTTCCTTTAAATACTATTTCTATATCAATGTTGGGGAGTGTTACTAAGATGACAATTAGTTAACATCTTGACATTAGTTATAGTAGTAGTTATTTCTTCCTCTATGTTAATATTGCGGAGTGTTACTAAGATGACAATTAGTTAACATCTTGATATTAACTATAGTAGGATTCATACTCTTTAATATTCTTCCTTGAGTATTAATTAATTCCTATTCATATTTCATATTAATATTTTGAACATTACTTAAAGGATCAACTAGTTTTGTTTCATATATTAATTATTACTAGAATCAATCGATTAATACGCTTGTTATTAATTCGGTTCCTTCAACGGTAGTAAACTTGGATTGTTAATGCATGCGTCTCATGATTAATAATCTAAGGGGAATTAATTATATTGATTAAACCAATAAACTGCTTGTGTTGAGGTTATCAATCTCAATCGTTTTCATCTTAAGTTTATTGCTACTATCGGGCCAATATATGACGCTTGTTCTATATTAACTCGGTAGTAAGTTTTATTAATGAACGCGTCTCGTTATTAATAACTACCCTCGATGAACTGGATATACTCCTCGATTGAGTATTCGAGAGGAAGATAGTTAAAGATATAACCGGGATTGACAAACATTTCATTAAGTGGATAAAAGCAAAACCAAGTCCTTATCTCATTAAATTAAACTCATATAAGTTGTTTATCTTAGTGTTAATTAAATTCAATCAAATCAAACTTAAAACCCCCCTTGTTACTATTGATATAAGAGAAAAGGATTCTTTTCCCTGTGGATACGAACCTTACTTCACTATACTACGTATTAGTGTTGTATTGATTAATTATTTTGAGTGCACCTCACGACAAGTGCACGTCAAATTTGGCGCCGTTGCCGGGGAAAGGAAATTATTTTTCTTTTTATTTTATCTCATAAAAATCAAAAACAAAAAGAAATATAAAAAAAAAAATTCTATTTTCTGAGCTTACATGAGTATATGGATACCAACACATCATCCTTAGAGAGTCAAATTTCCGTTTTGGCTTCTCTCATAAAGGAGTTTATCTTAAGCTCAGAAACTCAAGATGCCAAGACCTGCGATATTTGCATGTTTCACAGGCATATTGCGGATTTTTGCCCAAAGCTCCAAGAAGAATACATCGCACAAATTAATTATGTACCTCACATGAGGTATGATCTATTCTCCAAATCTAACATGTCTACGGAGGACATGATTCGGACTCTTACTAACAGCGTGACCACCATGCAACAAAACAGGGTGCAATTCCAAAACCGTGTTTCAAGGTCAAATATCTATCCTTATCATTCTTTGAGGTACCCCCAACACTTCTAAAAACTTCGAGGGAAACTCATAAAATTGAAAAGGATAAAGACATTTTTGAAATCTTCACAAAAATTGAGAGATCAAAACATTTTCCATTGATCATGTTAATCGATAATTTCTTTCCCTCACTCTCACCACATGAATCAATGGAAATCTGGATATTTGATCCTAGAAAGATTTTCGAAGTGAAGAGTCAAAATAATTATCATGATCCAAGCTTGAACGATTAAACACAATGATGGCGTCGTGTCGCGACGTTAAATGAGACCCTTCTTGGGAGGCAACCCAATCAAAGGTACATATTCTTTTCTCCCTCATAGTTTTCATTTCAAAAAAAAAATACCAGGGGCACCATACCCGATCGGGTGTCACGTACTACCCGGTCGGGTATAAACAAAAATATAAAGGGTGAAGCTCAGGTAACCAAATACTCGATCGACTTAGGGGTGGAAAATTATGAAGTACCCGATCGGGCAGCTCCATATACCCGGTCGGGTATGTTAATTTTTTTTTCCTGGGAATATGTTCGCACCAAAACGCCCGATCGAGTATACCCCAACTCGATCGGGTAGGACCCCGGATTTTGAAGACACACAGGCATACCCGATTGGGTATGTCAGGGTAACCGGTCGGGTACACGGTATTTAAACCCGAATTAGCCACCCAAAACACCCATTTCATCTTCCCCAAACCTCCAACTTCGAAGTTTCTTTCTCCCATTACTCCCTCAAATCTCCACCAAATCTTTCCAAACCAACGCCAAAATCTTCACCACATTTCCCTCTACACCCCATATCCATCAACACCACATTTTTTCCCAAAAAACTCAAGTCCAAAAATAATGCCTTACGCCTTCCCCCTAGTCCGAAATTCAGAACTCAAAATTCAAAGCATCAAGCGAAAATGGCACCAAAGAGAACAAGGGGCGAGAGTATTTCATCTAGAGCACCGGTCAGCCCGATTATGATGGAGACGAGCACTAGGGACAGTGCTTCTAGCTAGGTGAGGGGGAGTCACTCATCGGTGTGTACCTAAGTTTGATACCTTGTAAACTAGCATTATTTTCTTTGAAAAAAAAATGAAATGCTAGTTAGGTTGAAAACCCAAAAAATGGGCAATCTAAGCAAAAAAGGCTTACAAAAAAATGATAAGTGAGTGGAGAGGTGGAAAAATAAAAGAGATGCTAGGATGAAAACCTGAAAAGGCTCCTAGACAAAATGAGAGATATGAGAGATATATTTGTTTTTACAGGACATCATTTAATCTCTTAAAGATGAAAAGAGGAGATGAGCATAGAAGGACTTGAAACCCAAGAAGATATTATTCTTTGAGCTAAACACTCAATGTAAAACTCATGTTATCCTTGGTGTTTTTTTTTTGCTTTTTCTGGTTGATTGTTGAACTTTTGAGGACTTGGAACTCTTAAACATTTGACTTTACTCGAGGACGAGTAAAGAAGCTAAGTATGGAGTAGTTGATATTCATGTAATTTCCGATTGTATGTTTGTATTTTTAACTAGTTTTTATTAGTTCTAGTTGAGGAAATTACGCACTTCTGGTGTAATACTTTATTTTTATATTTATTTGTAATTTGTTTAGATTAGGACTTTTCTGAGCTAAACAAGTCAAAGATCATCCAAGGGATCAAGATTGGACCTTAAAAGATCAAGGAAAGTGCAAGGAGGCAAGAAAGATTTCGATTTGGAAAAAATACTCATGTACCCGGTCGGGTATTGCCTATACCCGATCGGGTATTTGCTTGATTCGATTGTCCAAATCAAATCCGGGAACAAATGATCGTGGGAGCAAATTTTCGTAAAGATTCGTCACATACCCGGCCCGATCGGGTATGGCGACATACCCGATCGGGTATGCCTAGAAAAGTGAATTTCTGGGAAATTTCCTAAGATACCCGGTCAGGTATCCTATATACCCGGTCAGGTATCAGACCCTGCAGCTCCCAAAAGCCTATAAATACACTCCTTTCCTTCACAATAAGGGAACCAATTCCCATATACTTCTAAGCTCAGTCTAGAATAGTTCTTTCTTTATATTTTCATCATGTTTAGTCTCCAAATGAGGAGCTAAACTCTTCCATCTTGGTTTTGCTACTTTGAAGCTTAATGAATTTGTAAGTTGTGAGTTATTCTCTTTAATTTTCTTCCTTGAATATTAATTCTTTCTTTAAATACTATTTCTATATCAATGTTGGGGAGTGTTACTAAGATGACAATTAGTTAACATCTTGACATTAGTTATAGTAGTAGTTATTTCTTCCTCTATGTTAATATTGCGGAGTGTTACTAAGATGACAATTAGTTAACATCTTGATATTAACTATAGTAGGATTCATACTCTTTAATATTCTTCCTTGAGTATTAATTAATTCCTATTCATATTTCATATTAATATTTTGAACATTACTTAAAGGATCAACTAGTTTTGTTTCATATATTAATTATTACTAGAATCAATCGATTAATACGCTTGTTATTAATTCGGTTCCTTCAACGGTAGTAAACTTGGATTGTTAATGCATGCGTCTCATGATTAATAATCTAAGGGGAATTAATTATATTGATTAAACCAATAAACTGCTTGTGTTGAGGTTATCAATCTCAATCATTTTCATCTTAAGTTTATTGCTACTATCGGGCCAATATATGACGCTTGTTCTATATTAACTCGGTAGTAAGTTTTATTAATGAACGCGTCTCGTTATTAATAACTACCCTCGATGAACTGGATATACTCCTCGATTGAGTATTCGAGAGGAAGATAGTTAAAGATATAACCGGGATCGACGAACATTTCATTAAGTGGATAAAAGTAAAACCAAGTCCTCATCTCATTAAATTAAACTCATATAAGTTTTTTATCTTAGTGTTAATTAAATTCAATCAAATCAAACTTAAAACCCCCCTTGTTACTATTGATATAAGAGAAAAGTATTCATTTCCCTGTGGATACGAACTTTACTTCACTATACTACGTATTAGTGTTGTATTGATTAATTATTTTGAGTGCACCTCACGACAAGTGCACGTCAACTTGCTAGAAGATAGTTGATAGATGTTGAATTCTAGGGTGATCGTATCAAAATATATAATACTCCCTCCGGTCCTTAATGAAGTTTACACTTTGACTTCACACATATTAAGAAAATAAATTTAACTTTACTGTAGAGTACACTGTTTGACACTGTTTGACACTGTTTGACAATGTTCCGCACTGTTTTGTACTGTTTGGTATAGATTTGTTTGCCAAATAAGGCAAATAAGGAAGTGTAAAGTTTAATATGGGATGACCCAAAATGGAAAGTGTAAAGTTAATTAAGGACCGAAGGGAGTATATGCTACCACCTTAAGTATCTTTTATATTAAAATTGTTACTCACAACTCTCACATTATGCTTCAAGTAGAACTTAGTTTGGCTGATGTCTCACCCATTTGAAAGATTGAGAGCTCCACTAGCTACATCTTCAACAATGGACAACTGAACAAGGCTCTTACCACGAGTAGGCTTAGGTCATTAGGTGGTGGCAGTTGGTCTGATGAGATGAACATGTGGATGTCTCAAAGTTGGGTGTGAGATATATGTGGACTACAACTTACAAGAGTAGTCGTGCACTACAAAAAAGGATGACGCTCCATCGGGCCCCAACTCCGACCGAACGGTACGTTGCGAAAATGTAAATTGGACTATAATCCCAATCTGATAGATAGAGAGTGAGGCTCTGTCTCCGATACTTGCAAAGACCCTATGTATTTTTAGCATAGTCACCTCTCATCGCAGTTGATGAGATTCGAACACAGGACCTAACCATTATGGCACTCCCTTCCTACCGGTTCAGCTACGGGTATCAAAACCCAATAAATTATTTGTACCAAATACAAGAGTAGTTGTGCACTACATATTTGTATCAAAACCCAATAAATTTTTTGTACCAAATAAAAACCCAAGGAGAAAACATTATTTAATTTCAAGCAATTTGATCCATTAATTAACATCCCGGAATAGTGAAATACTCCATGAACGCTGGGTCGTTACAAAGTCGCATTAAAGTCTGGGGAAGAATGCAGAGCTCGATATCCACACTCCCTTCCTCCGGTCCAGCCAAAAGCGTCACTTTCCCGTCTGACTTATTCCCCATTCCGCTCCTCACCGCAACCGGTTTCCCCCACCCGAAATCCGCACCGTACATGTCAAACCGGGGAGAGCTGCTTATGACCAGCGTATTTCTAGCCAAGTAATTCTTCTTCTCGCTGAGAAACGCCGGCGATCTCACCCACCTCACATACTCATTCATCACTTCTTCACGCCTCTGCTTCTCCACAGTTTCCTTCAGCTTCAAAGCTGCCCAACCCACTCCTTTCTCTAAGAGCTCCCCTGCTTTAGCCGACACCATCTTTACGTAAAGCGCGTTTCCCCAGTACCCTTCCGGCAGTGGGACCCTCGATCGGGTTCCGATAGGAATGGAGAGCTGAACGTCTTCGTCCCCGTCGAGTTCCCGTGCGCGATTGACCGATACCCATATGTGGGCCATGTATGCCTGCAGCGAGGAGATGATGGGGTTGCTGTTTGGCATTCCCAATTCAGAGTTCACGTTTTCTTTGAGCTTGGCTATGGCTTCTCTGCTCAGCCGGAATACCCGCTCTGCATTTTCCGGCGGAGTTTTCATACAGCCGAGAGATCGTCTTTCTTTGTTGAGAGCCATAGGGAGACGAACCGGGCGAGTTATGTTTTCCGGGAACCAGCGGTCAAGGATGGGAGGTTCAGAGATTTGAGGGCAACCGCGTGATAGCTCCGACCAAGAACGGAAGAAGTTCCAGAAGGAAGCGCCGTCGCCGAGGGCGTGGTTCAATGTGCAGCCGATGAAGTAGCCGTCAAGAAGCTCCGTTACTTGCACTCCCAGCAGCGGCTTGCAGATACCGTCGCAGTTGCGGATTCCGTTAAGGGGAAAGAAAGATCGGATTGTTTGTGCAGCGCCGTCGTTGGACGGATCAAGAATGGCAGCGACGGTCACGCCGGCGGCCTTAGCTTCTACGAACTCGACACCTGCATTATTGCAGTCGACAAAAACGGTAGAGGTGTTATTCTTCTCATCCTCCTCGTCCGTGGCAAAACGGCCAGCAAGAGGGGGGAAGAAATCGAGGGTGGCGGAAAGTGAGATTTTCAGGCGATCAATTAATGTGGAGTGGATGACGTGGTGCTGTTGTTGTTGAGGGGTGGGTTTTGGGAAGAGGAGCCCTTTCTGGATGGAGCCAACTAGGAGGAGTTGCAGATCCCATGGCGTCAATTCAATTTTTGATCTTTCTGGCGTTGGTGCACCGGCAGCTCCAACTAAGCACGTTGATACGATTTCGACATCCGCCATTTTTAATAATCTGTGTTTTGATGTTGTCAGAAATGTTGTTTGTTCCTTCATTTATAGTCCCACTTTCGTTACGTGTACCCAAAACCTCTACTAGGTGTACACTCGTATGTTTTGTTAGGTGTACTGTGTACACTTGTATACACTTGTATGTGCCGCATTTTGTTTACTCTTACATCCCGTTTGGAAAGTCTATTTTTCCGGTTTTGAGCCTTATCAATCAAAGTTTTTATTAAACATTTTATTTTTTATTTCGCATGTTGAATTGTGTAATACGTAGTATTAAGAAAAAGTAAGATTCAAGTACTTTTTCTGGTTGTATTGGTTAAAGTTGCTACAGAGGATCTGTTTTGCTATTTTTTCATATAATTTTTTAATAAATCAACTGAATCAGTGAATCCAACCACTTCAGACAGATTTTCATAAATTTCAGCAGAATCAGCTAATTCGGTTATTTTCAATGTTACCAATAAAGTTCCTAATTAGTGTCTCTATTGAATTGGAGTTTGAAAATTGGGGAGAAGATCAAAATTTGAGCAAACTAGGAGGAGTTGCAGATCCCATGGTGTTAACTCAACTCTTGATCTTTTGGCTATTTTGTGCACCAACCATTCTTGATGTACACACCCTTGTATGCACCTTATACACACCATGTTTGTGAAGCTTTTTTTTTTCTGTGAATCCGGTTCACAGACAATATTTTGTTTGTGCAAAACATTGTCTGTGAATCGATGTTCACAGACAAAGAAAAAAGCTTTCACATACATAGGTGTGTACAAAAGTGTGTATAAGAGTGTGTACAAACATCATTTTTGTTTGTGCACTGGCAGCTCCAACTTAGGACGTTGATAGATTTCGACCTCTGCCATTTTAAATAATTGAAAGATCTCTGTTTTGATGTTGTCACTTTTGGTCCAAAAGGTTGAACCTCTAAAAGGTAAAAAATTCTCTCTCTAGACTGGCGATAACCTAGTTCAAGTGTTTCAATGAGCACCCCTGCGGTGGCAGAGGGGGCGCCGCCTCCCCCTCCGGCCAATCATGCTTGGTCTGGGCGTTCTTTTGCTTCGGTGGTTGTTGGTGAATCATCCGATCTTCCCCTCTCAAAGAAACAATTGTCGCGGTTCAAGGGGATGCCGGCAATCACGTTTCCGGATGAGGAAATCCAATTGCTTGCATCAAAACATAGAAGAGATTTGATAGGGTATTTTTTCTCTGGTAGGCCTCCAATGACTTCCTTGCGTAAAGCCTTTGAATTGATTGGATTCAAAGGTAAATTTCAGATAGGGCTCTTGAAAAAAATCACATTTTGATTCGATTTGATTTAGAAGAAGATTATATTCGTTTGTGGAATCGTCAAGTTTGGGATATTTTTGGTAGTGCCATGCGCGTTACTAAATGGACTCCAGATTTTAGACCTAATGTGGAATCTCCTATTGTTCCAATCTGGTTATGTTTTGAAAATCTACCCATACATTTGCATGATAAACGGGCTCTTTTTGATATTGCGGGAATGATAGGTAGACCCCTCAAAATTGATGCTGCTACTGCATCTCTTTCAAGGCCATCCTTGGCAAGGGTGTGTGTTGAGCTTGATCTCACTGGGGAGATGCCCAATAAAATTTGCATCCAGTGTGGATCACAAGGATTCTCACAACAGGTCATTTATGAGAATAGGCCCTTATATTGTTCTAAATGCTTTCACCTTGGTCATTCTGAGGCCTCTTGCCCTAAAAAGCCTGTGGAGATGCTTCCCTTCAAAGGGGTTACTGTTCCAGAAGTATCTATAGAAAAATGGGTTGCTAAACCCATCAAGCAGCAGACTAAGAAGACAACTCAACCCTTAATTACAGAAGGGGATTTTGGGAAGGGGATAATGATTGACATGAAACAGGCTAAAGTCACTCAACATATTACAGCTACTACTAATGCTTTAGACATTCCATCAACATCTAATATTCCTTCTCAAGAGATTGGTTCTAAAGCTGAGGAAGAGATCCTGGCTCCAATAGTATCCCAGCATGTCCCTAAGGATGAGGGACCAGAGGAGATCTTTGTCCTTATTAGAGCAGCCAGATTACTTACTTCTGAGGTAGCTGTAGATGATTACCAGCTTTTGAAGATCCAACAGAGAAATCAATATGATCCTGCATTGTGTGCTAAAGGTTATTCTTCTGATGGTGATTGGTGTTCACCTGATAATTTATGCAAATGGAAACAGGGACAGGATAGTCTTACCAGAAAAGTTGCAGCAATGATAAAGAAAACCAGCAACACTGCAGATATATCAAAAGTTGATTCTCTTAAAGACGAGGATGGTTTCATTAAAGTGGCAAGGAGGAAAAAAAGACAACCTATGCAAGTGGTCCCTGACACCCTAGACTTACTAGATTTACAGCTAAACAGCTGTCTATAACTTTCCCTCCTCTGTTTAAATGAATTGTCTGATTTGGAATATCCGTGGCCTTGGTTCCTCCTGTCCAAGGCTAAGACAATTAATTAGACAGTGGAAAGTTCATTTAGTAGCTATTATGGAACCTATCATTTCTAATTCTAGAATTTCATCCTTTGCTTTGGAATTGGGTATGAGCAGTTATTATTGTTGTAAAGATAACAAGATTTGGCTTTTTTGGGATTCTTCTTGTGTGGATATATCTAATATTACCAATGGTGAACAGTTCACCCATATGAAAGTTTCTTCTGCCTCTATTTCTTATTGGTTTACAGCAATTTATGGTGCTCATAGTTACATTTACAGAAGATTGCTTTGGTCATTTCTTGAAGATTGGGCTGCTTCTAATCATGAACCTTGGATGGTTGGTGGAGATTTTAATGCTATAACCACCCCAGGGGAACATAAAGGTCTTTTCTCTCCCCCAATGATCAGTATGAATGAATTTAGAGATTGTATTATGAACTGTGAATTTTTGGAATTACCTTTTCATGGGAGTCCATACACTTGGACTGGAGTTAGAACTTCTGGAAGAGTTTGGCGCAGGCTGGATAGAATTTTGGTAAACTCCTCCTTTGTTGACATGTTTGATACTATTCAAATCAATCACCTGAATAAAGTTTCTTCAGATCACTCTCCTATCATGATGCAAGGCAATAATCAATCAGTTAAAAGGCCAAGATCCTTTAGATTTCAGAATATGTGGGTCTCTAATCCTGAATTTTTGGATGTTGTCAAAAAAGCCTGGAATGATTGTAAATCTGGGGGTGGTATGAGGGGTTTATATGACAAGCTACAATTCTTAAAGAAAGCTCTGAAGGAATGGAATAAAGCTTCTTTTGGCAACATCTTTCATGACTTAACTAAGCTAGAAGAGGAGGTACAAAAAGCAGAGACCCTATATGAATCTGACCCCACTCCAGATAATAGAGAAAATTGGTCTTTTTGTCAATCCATGCTTATGGTTAGACATAATCAAGAAAAGGAATTCTGGAAACAAAGAGCCCATATTAAATGGATGAAAGAAGGGGATGCTAACACCCATTTCTTTCATTCATATGTCAATATCAAAAGAAGAATTCAACACTTATCTTCTATTAAAGATTCTACTGGTAATCTGTGCAATGACCATGTATCTATTGCTAAAGCTGCTGAGGACTACTTTTCTGGAATTTTTGCAAAAGAATCAGTGGAGGATGTTGATGAACTATTGCAGTATGTTCCTAAGTTAGTAAATGACAATGATAATGATATGCTGATGCAGATCCCATTAATGGAGGAAATTAAACAAGCAGTATGGAGTCTAAACAAAGATGGTGCTTCTGGTCCAGATGGATATAATGGAGTTTTTTTTAGAACCTGTTGGGATATTGTTGGTATGGATGTGGTTAGGGCAGTCCAAGATTTTTTCATTGGGAATCACATTCCTAAAGCTATGGCTTGTATTCTTATTGTGTTGATTCCTAAAGGGGATAAGGTTTCTACCTTTGCTGATTTTAGACCTATCAGCCTATCAAATTTCATCAGTAAGGTTTGTACTAGAGTTTTGGCCTCAAGACTGAGTGCTATTCTTCCAAAGCTCATTTCAGAGGAACAGGCTGGATTTATGACAGGAAGAGACATTTCTGATCATATTTTAGTGGCTCAAGAAATGGTGAATGCCTTAGATAAGAAGGTCAGGGGCACTAATTTGGTTGTCAAACTGGATATGGCCAAGGCCTTTGATAGATTGTCCTGGGTTTTTCTAGAAGCCATTTTGTTTAAATTTGGTTTTGCTGGGTCCTTTATCAAATTAATTTTGGATCATCTTAAAGCTACACACTTCTCTGTGCTCATTAATGGCACCCCTTCTGGTTTTTTTAAACCCTCCAGAGGTGTTAAACAAGGTGACCCACTTTCACCTTTCTTATTTACCCTTGCCTCAGAAGCCTTTTCTAGGGGGTTTAAAGCTCTTATTGATTCTTATGCTATAAAGCCCTTTTGGATCGGACAATATGGTCAGCCTATCTCTCACTTATGCTTTGCAGATGACATTCTCATTTTTTTAAATGGGGAGGCTAGGTCAGTTCAGGTTTTTAAAAGATTCCTTGGGTTATATCAAAGGGCATCAGGACAGGCAATTAACTTTAATAAAAGTAATTTTACCTGTGGCAAAACTTCTTTGGCCAGAATTAGAAAGCTGGAAAGATTATTGGAAATGAACAAAATCAATCTACCAATGAGATATTTGGGGGCAGCCCTACACAAAGGAAAAAACAAAATTAGATTTTGTTCAGGAATTATCCAGGCTTTTGATAAGAAGCTGACTTCTTGGAAGCAGAAGTGTTTGAATATGGGGGGGAGAGCTATTTTAATCAAATATGTCTTAAATACTATTCCTCAACATACACTTGCAGTTGATATTCTTCCTAAGTCTGTGATTAAGATTTTAGAGAGGAAAATGGCTACTTTTTTGTGGGGCTCAGCAAATAACAAAAACAAATATCATTGGATCAACTGGCAGAAAGTTTGTCTTTCAAATGAAGAAGGAGGGTTAGGGATCAGATCAATCCATGATGTCCAGAAAGCACTTTCATTGAAATTATGGTGGAAATGGAAATGCAAAAGTTCTTTGTGGGCTAAATTCTGTCATTCCAGATACCCTAGAGGTCTTGATATAATTCCTAAATCATATGATTCTACAATATGGAAACGTATTTGTGATATTAATGCTATTGGGTTGGAGAATAGTTAGGAAGGACCAAATGGAATGTGCTGGTTGCCAGAGAGTAATGGTACCTTTACCTTGTCATCTGCTTTTCAGATTGTTAGAAGAAAAGGAGCTGTGACTTTTTCCTTCAAGCATGCCTGGCATAAGCAGCAAAAGAGTCAAATTCAAAATTTTCAATGGAAGTTACTTCATAGAATACTTCCTTTTCCTGATAATTTGACTAGATTCAGACTCTATATTTATCCTTCAATGTGCCCTATGTGTAAACAGGATAATGGGTATATGGATCATATTCTATATAATTGCAGCTATACAAGGTGTATCTGGAAATATTTTATGGGTATTCTTGAAATTCCTTACTATCAGGATACCATGTATGTAAGACAAATTTTCATTGCTTGGTGGATGGAAGCGGGTTCTAGGAGTCTTATGGACATTTTCAGACACAATATGCCAGGTATTATCGCATGGCATATCTGGAAAATGTATTCTCAGGTAATTTGGGGGGATCGGAAGAACATTCCAACCCCTCACACTGTGATTCAACATATTAGGTTTTTCACACAGGAATGGTATATGGAAAAATTGAGTAGACTGAAACTTAAAGGGGACCATAATCATGTCCTTCTTGAGGAAGCTCTTATACCTAACACTACTCTATTCTTGTTACCTAAAATTAGAGTGGTAAAGTGGAAGATACCTGAGTTGAACTTTAAGCTGAACGTTGATGCCTCGTATGGAGATGATGGAGCTGCAGGCGGTGCGATTTTGAGAAATGGTGAAGGCGACTTCATTTGCGCACTTCACTTTCCAATTTCTGCTAGGTCGGCTTTGGAAGCAGAAACCGGTGCTATCCTTGAAGCTGTGGAGTGGATGCTCAAGAAGGGGTTTAAAGAGATGGAGATTGAATCGGATTGTAGTGGTGTGATTGATTTTTTTTGCAGGGAATGGCTATGCTCGCTACTTTTTGGAGGAGAGAAGAAGAGGGATGGACAGCGTAAGGCTGACCTTCGGACATATTCTGAGGGAGGCGAACAGGCCAGCTCATTTATTTTCCAGATTAAAACTTGATGGTTTTACTATTTTCAACAATATTAATCAGGTTCCAAATTATCTTCGTAAGTCTATTATCGCTGATAAACTCGGGCTCAGTTTTATTAGATACTATTAATTGTAATTTTATTGGGTTTGGTCTAGCCCCCCCAATAAATTTTAATTTTCTTATCTCTTTTGCTTCCTTGGCTTGTATTTTGAAGAGGTATGCCTCTTTTGGAGAGGTCTTGGTCTAGTCCCCCTCTCCTTTTGTATCATCTATTTTTCTTAATAAAATCCGGCAAATGTTCCCCGACATTTGCCCCACTGATTTTGGTGGTTTGCCTTCCGGGTTTAAAAAAAAAGGTTGAATGTCCAACCCCAACGCCCCCCACCCTGACCCGACAGGATGGTGGGGAGGTTAATCACGGCGACTCAATCAGGAAAGCGGCGGTAGACCTTATACACGTGCGCACCAGAGGTCCAGCCTTATTTCAGGTTCTGTAACCTCCACACGGCCGCTGCGGGTTTCGAACCTTGGTCATTTGGTCCAAATTTCCCACCACTCGACCAACTGAGCTACCCGTGCGGGTAATTTTTTTTTTTGTCACAATTGAGCTCCTAGTTTTGATGTTGTCACAATTGTTCTTTCTTCCTTCATTTATAGTCTCTTTTTTTAGAGTTGGAGTTTGAATTACTAAAACGGATTATTAGTGGTTCACATTGAATATTTAATTGTGGTACAAATAATGTCTATCATAGTAAAATATGTTTAATTTTTAAAAATATTCCCGGTCAGATAAAGTTATAAGAGAGAAAATTAGGGCGCTCAATTTTTAGCCGGCTTATCTTATCTTATATTATTATACTTAAAAACAATACATGAGTAGAGCAATGCTCTCTAACATTGGTAGGTAGACACGTTACATAACAATTGGGGTAAGATGATATTTTTAATAGTATACTCCTTTTGGTATATATAAATATAGAAATTTTAAAAATATTTATAAAGGCTATTCAATTATTTAAATTTTTGTATACTTCCTCCGTCCCATTTTACTTAGCCAATCTATTTCTTGACATTGGTACTTTAGCGACCAAACCCCCATTTTTATCTCTCATCAAAAGGGTGTGATCTTTCATATGAATGTCATATCCCTTTTCTAAAAGTTGCCCCAAACTTAAAATGTTTGATTTCATGTTGGGCACATAGTAGACGTTAGAGATGAAATCATTTTTTCCATTTTTTAACCGGATTAAAATTTTCCCCATTCCTTTTACCGGAATTTTTGAATCATCTCCAAAGTAGATATTTCCGCTTACCAATTCATCAAGCTCGACAAACATATCTTTCTTCCCGCACATGTGGTTGCTTGCTCCCGTATCTAAGTACCATGTCTATTTGGTGTCACTTTCTCCTCCTTTATGGGCCATCAACAATGTTGAATTTTCTTCTTCTTCTTTGGCAAGATTTGTTCGCTCCTCAACTTTATTTTTTGCCAATCTACAATCGGAGGCAAATTGACCAAATTTTTGACAATTATAACATGGAACTTGATACTTATCATACCTTGGTCTTGAAAAAACTCCTCTTCCACGGCCTCTTGATTGATAGAAATGTGGACTTCTCTCTTCTTTGTTGAAAGTTTTATAACCTCCTCTTCCATAGTCTTGGCTTCGGCCGCGCCCTCTTGAACTTTGACTTCTTCCCTCTTGAAAAATCTCTTTATTTTTTAAGGTGAGCTTGGTTTGAAGGGCTTGCTCCAATGACTCTTGCTTTATTCTCTTCTTGAGTTTTTCTTCATGAGCTTGAAGAGATCCCAAGAGATTATCAACCGTCATTGTTTCTAGATCTTTAGATTCTTCTATTGCCACAACTATGTTATCGAATTTTGAATCTAAAGACCGTAGATTTTTTTCAACCACACGATTGTCTTTGATTTCTTCTCCATATCTTCTTAGTTGATTCACGACGGTTTGAACTCTTGAGAAATAGCCGTCAATAGATTCCGAAGAGTTCATGTTTAAAGATTCAAACTCACCTCGAAGACTTTGAAGTTTTACTTTCTTCACCTTATCTACTCATTTGAATGAATCCTCTAATATCTCCCAAGCTTCTTTGCTTGTAGTTGCACATGCCACCTTTGCGAACATGACTTCATCCAAAGCTTGATGAATGATAGAGAGCGCCTTTTGATCTTTCTTCTTAGTACTCCTCAAGGCATTCTTTTGATTTTGATTTAAGGCGTTGATGTCTTCGGGTTCCTCGAAGCCTTCCTCTACCATGTCCCACACATCTTCCGAACCAAGTATTGCCTTCATGCGAATGCTCCAATTATCATAATTCTCCTTTTTTTAATGGAGGAACTTGAAGAGAACCGGCCATTTTAGGGTGATGACCGAACGGCTCTGATACCACTGTTGGAAATAAGTGAAGGAAGATTTAGAAAATTGGGAGGCTAAATTAGAAATATTATGGAAGAGATATTTGAACAAAGGGGGAGAACTCTTTTTATTAGAACAACTCAATTTGCTTGATTTGCTTGATACAAAGTGGGGGTAGGAGACCTCTATTTATACTAGCACAAAGATATCTAGAATCTTCTAAAATTAATACATTCTACACAATTCTACTCAATTAATTATAGGAAAATTCTAGACCACATCTTCTAGAGAAACTCTAGAATTTATTCCTTCTACATTTTTCTATCACTTGGACCTTCCTATCAACAACTAAAACTAAATATTAATTAGGCCCAAAAACAAGTTTCATTTTCAACACTCCCATACTCCATCTTCAACAATGAACAACTGAACAAGGCTCTTTCCAGGTGTAGGCTTAGGTGGTGGTAGTTGGTCTAATGAGATGAACTCATGAACATGTGGATGTCTCAAAGTTGGGAGTGAGATATGTGGAGTACAAGTGTACAACTTACAAGAGTAGTTGTACTCTACATATTTGTACCAAATAAGAACCATACATAAAACATTAAAGGAAAATTCTACGGTACATGTTATAATTTAGCAGGTACCGTACCTCTGCCTTGTTGGACCAATCAAAACCTTACATACTGATTCTTTAAACACGTATACGAAACCCACTTATTTGCGTATCAATCCCGTGAAGCTCTAGTTTTTGACGGAAGTAGGATGAAATTAAACGGAGAAGCATCCGTTAAACCTCTCTGAACGCAGAACGAAACAAAGAGGCGCTGGGGTGCTATATTCTCGAAGACGAACGCAAGGAGAAAGGGGCAAAGGTCTTTTCTCTTCTAAATTCTCTTCTAATTTGTTGGCGGCGCTCAAGTTACTAAGTTTACTGGCGGTCAGACTACAGGTTTCCTTTGATCGGCGGCGGCCGCCGCACTCGCTGGGTTCAGCCGATGATGGAGGTAATTTTTCCTTGCTAGCGACGCTCCACTTTTAATTTGCAATGCTCCTCAATTCTGCTTAGGGAAAATGTTGTGGTATGTTAACTCTTTATATTAGATTAGATTTGATGCTCATGTACCTTCAATTATCAGTTTAGAACAAACTGCTTCAATTCCAGTCCATTCAAGTATAAATTTGGATGCGTACTTATTTTTGCAATTGTACAGAGACATGTTTGATGGTCATCACGCATCAGGTTTATTTGGTTGGGAAAATGATAATATTATGACTCCATATTAGCAACATACACCAATGATAAAAAGATGCTTTATTTAAGTGGTGAAACTCAATTCATCTTACCACTCCAGTTCCCTTAAAGAACTTTCAAGATTTTCCACTCATGGGCTGCTCAAAGGAGCAACTGATGACCTATTTAAAGGATCTCCAAATTGATTTTGAACAATATGAGCACCCTGTTGTATTGACTGTTGATACTCAGGAAAATATGTTGGACATTTGAATGATGCACTGAGTAAAAATCTGTTCTTGAAGGATAAGAAGCATAGATTTTATATTGTTTCTGCATTGGCAGACACCAGAATAGACTTGAAAATTCTAGCTCAGAGGCTCGGATTGGGAAAAGGAGGTTTGAGGATGGCCCCGGAGGATTCACTGACAGGGATACTTCAGGTATGTGTTACTCCATTCACGCTTTATAATGAATCTGCAAGGGATGTCTCTTTATTATTAGACCAAGGGATGAGAATAAAGGAGCGTTGCTTCTTCCACCCACTTTCTATTGATGTGAGCATTGCTATTAACACAAGTGATCTTGATAAGTTTTTGAGTTCAATTGGAAAGCCATCAAACTATGTTGATCTGGATGATAACCCACCAGTCGGGAAGGATCAACCTCCTGATCTTGCTAATGTTGTTCCATCTGATGTCCCGACACTGCCTGATAATATGGAGAAGTCAGCTACCTCAGTGGTTCCTGAGAAGAAGGATCATGTTGCTGCCGATATAAAAGCAGAGGTTAAACCAAAAAATGCCAAGGCAGCTAATAATTCTAAGAAAGATACTTTGAGTAATTCACTGGGCTCTGCACCTACTTTTATTGACCCCAAAAAATTCGTTGAAGACATCCTTGGAAAGGTGTCGAATGTAGTTCTTTGCGAGGTCAACAATGAGAATATCAACCAGTATGGTGACCAACTTGGCTCTATAGTTTCAAACAATATCAAGAGGCACCTTAGAGCTGAAATGCAAAACATTGTTACAATGTTCAAGAACACTGCATACACAGATGGGTTTCATGCCGGCATCCACAGTCAACGTAATCGAATGTAAATGTGTTTCTAATGTATGTTGACATGTAGTGTGTTTCTAATGAGATCTCTTTAGTTCTGTTCGCCAGAGCTGGTAGTCCACCACTCATCCGTGCTCAGAGCAGTGTTTCACTTGGTTTGACAGTTTTTTTTAAATCGACATGTTCTTTATTTCAGAAAAATGGCACTTGTTTTTCTCAAGTACTATTTGGTTAGCAAATTACTGAACAGCGTGGGGTATATGGTTGGTTTACCCCAAAAGAAAAAAAAACAGTACTTATTGACTTTTTCATATAGTACACAGGTTAATGTAGTAAACTTGTTGAGTTTGCTCAGTTGGGAGATAAGAGCATGGTATAAACTATGCTTCTGATAAATATTCTTATCTAGTTGAGAAACATTACAGAGTATTAATTATTCGAGAAAAGATAGTTGTTGATATTATATTGCTCATCAATTTCATATCCTGCAGGACTGTATTAGGATGCTTGTTTCAAGTGTTGTAAGAGCTGACCTTGGCCTTGGGTGTCACTAGTCATTAGAGAAAACTATAAACTTGTCACTAGTCAGTATCCTAAATTCTTGTCACTGCTGGAACCATTGGCAACAAACTCGCGAAGACAAAGCAACGACCGGAGAAACGACACTGCTGGAACAGCAGGCAAAAAACTCACGAAGAAGAAGCAACGTCTGGAGAAACGACACTGCTGTGTTGCAAATGAACGCAGAAGCAAAGGTATTTTTCTTGTATTTTGCTAGCTCCGTTAAAGTTTGCGTGACCCGGAGGTGTGCCGTTGTAGTTGTCTCCTCCTGTGTTTACTGGCGGCCATATTATGGAGGTAATTTTTCCTATCTATCGATGCTCAAATTTTCACTTTCAATTCTCATCAATTTTGATTAGGGCTAATGTAGTGGTAGGATTAGATTAGATTTGATGCTCATGCATCATCAATTATCAATTCCTTAGATGAAAACCTAGCCTCTAAGCAGAACAAATTGCATCACTAATTCACAATTGCAGTCCATTCCAGTACAAATTGAATGTTTTTTTTTGCAATAGTACGTAGAGACAAATGTTTGATGGTCATCAAGTTTATTTGGTTGTGACAATGATAATATTATGGCCCCATATTGCTAACGGACACAAAGATAAAACATGTTTGACTGCTGATCATTTTAAGTGTTAACAAGAGTTTTAAGTTCCTTTTTCACATTAACAAGTGAGACAAGTGAGTATATGTGTACTACATGTGAGAAAGTTCCAAGTTCTACTCTCAGCGATAAATTTTCCTTATAATACGACTGAAAAACATAGATACTACGGTTGATAAGTTTCAAGGGTTAATATTACAAGTTACTTTATGAACTATGAATATCACCAGATCACCTAATGGAAAGTAGATGAATTATATTTGTTCATTTATGTAGTTTAGTACTATAGAGTTGCAAGTGCATAATAGAATTCAGTACTAAGCAAGGGTTGTGTGCATACCCCTACTAGGAACAGAGTACTGAAAATACCTCTATGAAATACGAGTCTGGGGTAAAAACACCAAGAGTCCAATTTTAGATAGAACAACCCATAAGATTGGCATGAAGATTGTTGGAAAAAAATATGAGTGACACCCAAAAATTATATGTAGTACTATATAAATCTGTTTTTTTTTTCAAATTTTCTTTTGCATCATTGCTTTTGGTTCATTAAGAATATATTCACTTGCATTGAGATTTATTAGTCTAGTATAGTTTGGTCTAACAGAGGTTTGCTATGTGTTACTATTATTTAAATCGGAGCGTATTCGAGAATAAAACAAGTATAAGTCAAAACATTCTAAAATTATTTTTAGTAGACCAAAAAATAATTATGGTGCATAGTCAATTATATACCTAGATTTTCCTAATGGGCTGGAATGAAAGTCTACCATTGTCGTTTGATTTTATTTCATTGTATTATAAATTAATTACCGTCATATAAAAAAATAAAGAGAACAGGAGACAAAACAAAGAATAGATGAATTCAATTTTCAAGGACTCAAATCTTATTTCTTCCTCGGTAGTTGCCATTGAAAACCACCAGCACAAATGTCATACTTCAATATCTAGATACTAAATTCCGCCGACCATATCCACCTAAATTAATCGAAAATCAATGTAAAAGAGGTCTTTGTTCACACTTTTGGAAACATACGTAGAGAGTTTTTCATGCACTTCCAACATCACAAACAAAAGTAAGAAAGTTTGTGTAATAGTCCTGATGGAGTATATGGCCCGGGAACACCCGGCCCACAGACTCCTACTACACCAATGAAGGCCCAACCGGCCTAGGAAGCTCAACATGCCCAAATCACGGCGCCCAGAGTACCAAGCAGCCCGCAATACGCACCAGGGGTGCCTTCGGCCCCCTGGCCGACGGCTCCAAACTATCACAGCGTGGATATTTCAAACAAACAGAGGAAAGGGGAGAAAACGGCGAAAATAGTAGCCCTCGGCACTCAGGGGTCCTCGGCACTCAGGGGTCCTCGGCACTAGGAGCCCTCGGCTAGTCCTCCGCAGCCGAGGGCACCTCTCCCGACATGATATCCGCGTCACATGCGTACAGATCACCGTACCCTGCACAGACGTCCCGTCAAACAGCCGCATTAAATGCGGCCACATGCGGCTGCCAGCGCCAACCAGTTGAGGTGACCTCTCAGCCAATGGGCGCTTGACACGTGTCCCTGTCCGGCATTTATTGCTACTATAAATAGCACCCCATTTCCCCATTTGTAACCACGCTGAAAACGCTCCACACTTATAATATACTTTCTCTCTCTACATTTATTTGCTCTGACTTCTCTCTTGTTACTCCCCGTAATAACCTCTCGGATAAGCTACCCCCCGGGTACACTATCCATCATTTGGTGCTCTCGTTGAGAGGTCGAACTATCAAGTAAGAAACCCTCCCCCTTCGCCAAACACTAGCCCTCCTAAATGTGTTTTTACAGAGGTATCTCTTCGGCTCCAGCACCAGCTCTACACACACTCAGAGATATTCCTAGTATTGCATTTGCTCCAAGTTTGGATTTGTTTGGTGTTCCATCAATCTCCAACATAAGTGTATCTACAGCAGCCTGATTCCTTTGGCAATAGAATATCACATAATTTAATGACTCAAAAGCTTTAAAGAAAACAACAAGCCACAAGGTAGCACAATTGAGTAAAAAAGATAGGAATAATATTTTCATCGTTCATTTTTAACTGAAGTTTTTGAACTCCAGGTGCAAATACTATTGACTTTGGAAAATAGGTACAAACTCAAACATGGATGAAAAATTAGAGTGCAAAGTTAAACTAATACATATGCAGAGAACTGGTTTCAAATAATACCATTATAACATTCAAAGCAAATTAAGGCCAGAATCTAAGATCGATAGTAGAGTTAGGGTACAAACTGAACAAGATCCAATACACAATCACCTTGATTTTAACAAGCACATCCTGAGGCGAAAACCTGACGTGGTTTAAATATGCAAAGTTGCGGAAGAGGATTGGACAAAAGCAACATGAAACGGATGCCCCATTTCTCTGTTGAGACCTTCACTGAATCGCCGCCCATTTACCCTTGCCCCGTCGCCACTTTCAAGTCACAACCCCCTCCCCCCAGTGATTCACCGGCTACTAGATCCAGGGATCCCACCTTATTCTCAAACCTGGTGGCTTGTTGATTGAGACTCCTGTAGGCTCATCTTGCATTCAAATTCTGGGGGTCCCAAGTCCTGCATCCACCAACAACATTTCTTCCCTTAAGCGTAGAACTTCAGATTTTATGGCGTTTCCACTACATAAGAAAAAACTTGAATTAGATCTTGGAAATGATCGACTCAAATAGATGCTCATCTCCATTCATGGCAACGTAGCTTTGCCTTCTTTCTGTCTGTGAAAATAACCTTTACGCCGTTAAACTAGAAAACGTTAACATAAGGACCCTAGTGCAAATCACTAAAATTTGATTCAAAAGAGATTCCCATGTGTCATAATTTACTTGTCCACATTATCAAATGTACCGTACCTTCAAAATTTTTAGAGGTACCATAGAACAATCCTTGGATCCGTTAATTAACATCCCGGAATAGTGAAATACTCCATGAACGCTGGGTCGTTACAAAGTCCCATTAAAGTCTTGGGTAGAATGCAGAGCTCTATATCCACACTCCCTTCCTCCGGTCCGGCCAAAAGGGTGACTCTCCCGTCCGACTTATGCCCCATTCCGCTCCTCACCGCAACCGGCTTCCCCCACCCGAAATCCGCACCGTACATGTCAAACCGGGGAGAGCTGCTTATGACCAGCGTATTACCAGCCAAGTAAAGCTTCTTCTCGCTGAGAAACGCCGGCGATCTCACCCAGTTCACATACTCATTCATCACTTCTTCACGCGTCTGCTTCTCCACAGTTTCCTTCAGCTTCAAAGCTGCCCAACCCACTCCTTTCTCTATGAGCTCCCCTGCTTTAGCCGACACCATCTTTAGGTAAATCGCATTTCCCCAGTACCCTTCCGGCAGTGGGACCCTCGATCGGGCTCCGATGGTAATGGAGAGTTGAACGTCTTCGTTCCCGTCGAGTTCCCGTGCGCGAGTGACCGATACCCATATGTGGGCCATGTATGCCTGCAGGGAGGAGATGGGGTTGTTGTTTGGCATTCCCGATTCAGAGTTCACTTTTTCTTTGAGCTTGGCTATGGCTTCTCTGCTCAGCCGGAATACCCGCTCTGCATATGCCGGCGGAGTTTTCATACAGCCGAGAGATAGTCTTTCTTTGTTGAGAACCATAGGGAGACGAACCGGGCGGGTGGTGTTTTCCGGGAACCAGCGGTCCAGGATGGGAGGTTCCGAGATTTGAGGGCAACCGCGTGATAGCTCCGACCAAGAACGGAAGAAGTTCCAGAAGGAAGCGCCGTCGCCAAGGGCGTGGTTCAAAGTGCAGCCGATGAAGTAGCCGTCGAGAAGCTCCGTTACTTGCACTCCCAGCAGCGGCTTGCAGATCCCGTCGCAGTTACGGTTTCCGTTAAGGTTAAAGAAAGATCGGATTGTCTTTGCAGCGCCGTCGTTGGACGGATCAAGAATGGCCGCGACGGTGATGCCGGCGGCCTTGGCTTCTACGAACTCGACACCTGCATTATTGCAGTCGACAAAAACGGTGGAGGTGTTATGCTTCTCATCCTCCTCGTCCGTAGCAAAACGGCCGGCAAGAGGAGGAAAGAAATCGAGAGCGGCGGAAAGAGAGGTTTTCAGGTGATCAATTAACGTGGAGTGGATGAAGAGGTTTTGTTCTTGTTGAGGGGTGGGTTTGTGGAAGAGGAGGCCTTTCTGGATGGAGCCAATCAGGAGGAGTCGCAGATCCCATGGGGTCAACTCAATTCTTGATCTTTCCGCCGTTGATGCACCGGCAGCTCCAACTAAGGACGTTGATACGATTTCGACCTCTGCCATTTTTAATAATTGAAATATCGCCGTTTTGATGTTGCCAGAATTATTATTTCTTCCTTCATTTATAGAAGGGAGTTGCTAGGGCGCCCATACTATTACTTAATCTAAGGACTAGTTTGCCCTTTGTCGCTTTCAATTTTTTAATTAAGTTTAATACGGAGTATATACAATTTCTTAGGGTTGGTAAATGGATCGAGTCATAATGATATTTTGTATTTTTATTTGTTTAATTTTTCGAATATGAATTCAAATATGAAACAAATATTAATTTTGATTTGTATTTGTATTTGTTTAACAATAAGAATAGTTAACGAATCATATACGAATATCGAATCGATTTGAGCATATGTTAAATATTAGTCTAATATCACTCTAAAATAACTTTTGTTATATTCCGTATTGTTTATGTTGTAAATGTATGATATGACTTAATATGTGTTTTTAGAATTGAAATTTAATGAATCAATGCATTTTTAGATGGTGCACAATATACTAAAGTGAATTAATTTTATGATTAATAAATATAAATCTATTTCAAACTTTTTGAGATAAACACTAACACACACATATTAGAAATTATACTTATAATGTGTGAAATAAGTTGACAAATGTATATATAAAAGTCAAAAATATCTAACTTTATTCTTCAAATCGAATACATAATTATTTGTATTGTATTTGAAAGACATTTGAACAAAAAAAAATTGATTTGTATTCATATTTATATTCTGATTTATTACAAATGGGCTTGGAATCTATATGCAAAAGTGTATATATGGGCTACACTTTGAGGGTATTGTTATCTTTTAAAAGTTTTTATAGTGTTATTATTATTATTATTATTATTATTGACATTAATATTACCATTATTATTAATCGAATATATTTGATTAATATTCGAATCGAATAGACTGATATTCTTATTTGTATTTGATAACAACTCGAATCAAATTTAATATTCTTATTTGTATTTGAATTTTCCGAACTCGAATCGCCTTATACGAATTCGAATCGCGAATCGAGCACAAATTATTTGATTCGTTTACAACCCTACAATTTCTCCTTAATAATAGAAGGTTCATTGAATCGTCATAGAGTGAATAGATCCCTAATGTTGAAATAAAGTTGAATTAGTCATCTTCTAACTATTCATGATTAGGAACACATTATCATCATTGTTAATATAAATAAGAAATCATAATTATGATTTCTAGATGATAATTGTGTGGTTCACAATTATCCTCTAATCCTAATAAGCTTAGCTTTTCCCCTATAGATAGGAGTATTCTCCTTCATTGTAAAGACACCATTAGAACATCTCTAATACACCTCTATCACTAAGGGTTCATACTATATTTTCTCTCCCTGGTCTTCTGTTTATTTCCTTCCATCTTATATCACGTTATCAGCACGAATTTGCTCCAAATCCCAGAAATCATCATCTTCCCAGCAGGAATTTTACAAAGTGATTAATATGTGCTGGATCATTATAATAAGAAACACATGTGACAATTTTCACTACTTGAGTACTAATATATACTAATATACGTACATACCTACATTAGTAGTTATTAATGAAAGATATTTAATACTGAGTATAGATTACTACATCTACTCATACGAACTACGTAATAAAAGTGATGCATATAATTATTGTTATCGTACGTGGTAATTATTAATATAGTTTTTATTACATTAACTAATTAATTTTGAATTAATTATGATGTAGTTCATCCATGGCTAATATTAGCAAAAGAGAGTTCGACGTCCTTGATCTATCTGGTCAAAAGTATTTGGAATGGAAAGTCGACGCTTTGGCACATTTAAAAGCAAATGCCCTTGAAAACACAATTGCTGAAAATAATTCAGCCACTTCCCAAAATAAGGCAAAAGCCATTATTTTTCTTCGTCACCATCTTCATGAAAGTTTGAAATGTGAGTATTTATTGGTATATGACCCTAAAGAATTATGGGATAATCTCCAAGAAAGGTATGACCATCAACAAAAGGTCCTTTTACCAAAAGCTCAATATGACTAGATCAATTTACGATTCCAGAATTACAAATCTATAAGTGACTACAATTCTGCCTTGTTCCAAATAACATCGAAATTGAAGTTATGCGGACAAAAAGTCACTGATGCTGAAATGTTGGAAAAAACTCTATCCACTATGCATCTTTCAAATATGCTTTTACAAGAGCAATATAGACAAAAGCACTTTCAAAAGTATTCTTGATGGATAGTCTACCCGGGGGTATATATCCGAAGGGTTATTACGGGGAATAACTTAGAGAGAAGTCAGAGCAAGTAAGTAAAAGTAGAGAGAGAGTGTATTCAGTATGAGTGCCGTTTTCAGCGTGGTTACAAATGAGGAAATGGGGTGCTATTTATAGTAGCAATAAATGCCGGGCAGGGACACGTGTCAAGCGCTCATTGGCCGAGGGGTCACCTCAACTGGTTGGCGCTGGCAGCCGCATGTGGCCGCATTTAATGCGGCTGTTGGACGGGACGTCTGTGCGGGGTACGGTGATCTGTACGCATGTGAGGCAGATATCTTGTCGAGTGAGATGCCTTCGGCTATAGAGCAGTAACCGAAGGCTCCTCCAACCGAGGGCACCTTGGTGCCGAGGGCTCACAGTATCGAGGGCTACTGTTTTCGCCGTTTTCTTCCAGTTTCTTAGTTTGCTTGAGAAACCCGTTCTGTGAGAGTTTAGACCCTTCGGCCGGGGGGCCGAAGGCACCCCTGGCGCGTAGTGCGGGCTGCTTGGTACTCTGGGCGCTGTGATTTGGGCCTGTTGGGCCTTTTGGGCCTGTTGGGCCTTCGCTGGAGTAGTAGGAGTCTGTGGGCCGGGGGTTCCCGGGCCATATACTCCATCAGGAGTCCCTCACTCCTTTTGCCGAAAGGTACTTGAGGGAAAATGAGTAATTTGTGCTTGCCCTTTGACGTTGTCCCGTCGTGATCTCTGAAGTTGGTGAGGAGTTGTTGCTTTTATGTCCCTGCCGAAGGCAGTCCCTCAGTTACCCACATGTCGGGACTTGAGGGCTTGCTTTGTTGTTTGTTGGAATTTCTACATCTTTTGTAATTTAATGATTTTCCCGAGGGGGTCCTCCAGTCCCCCACTCCTTGAGGCACTTGTAAAGTGGTGAAAAGGAGTAGAGTAGTTGTGTTGCTGTTGTGGGCCGAAGGCTGACGCTTTTCGTTTCATTTTGGGGGGATGCCTCGTTAAAAACCTCATTAGGAAAAACCCTGGGGGGAAAAATCCTAATGAGGGAAAAAGAGTGCACCGAATTCCCCCAATGATGAATCGAAAATGTCAAACCTTGGTCAAAAATGGAGAATACGGTAATGCCGAAGGCTCTTCTTTTCCTGAGGGCTCATGTATTGATCAGCCGAAGGCTTGCTGTTGATATCCTGGGGGTGCCGAAGGGGAGCCCCTCAACCCGGGGATCGAGGGCCTGCTGGATGATGGCAGTAATTTAACTGTCGCCGGGGGGTCCACTGTTTGTTGATTAGTTGGTGATGAAGATACCCGAGGGATCTCATTACCTGTGTGCCACGGGTTATCCGTCAATGAGGTAACTCCCCGGGGGCTACCCGGTTTTGCAGCGCTGAGGGGGAATCCCCGAGGGGTGCCCTGATATGAAGCCTTGGGTTTCTGAAAGAGTGATCCCGAAGGCGTCTGTTATGTGCTGTTTAGGGCATAACCTGGGCACACTTCTGAGTGAGTGTAACCGGGGGCTACCCTTGATGAAGTGGAGTGAAGTGGAAAAACCCGGGGGCTTCCAGAATATAGCCGTTGGAAATATAGCCGTTGGAATATGTAACGACGGGATATAGCCGTTGGGGGGGTGGCACACGTGGCGTGTGATGGCTGGCTGTTCGCGGGCGGCGTCACCGGTTGGGTGAAACGACGGTGTGTAATGATGACGGTCCGTCCGGAGGCCCGGTTTCCGGGCCCAATCCCGGATTCCAGCGCCTATAAATACCCCAAGGCCAGAGCCATTCCCGCTGTGCGAACTCAGTTGTCTTAGCGAAGCTCTGCCAAAAAATCTAGTGAGAGAAATTCAAGCCTTCGGTCCTAACTCAGCTTTCAAGGTCAGTGCCCTGCTCCTCTCTCAAAGTTTTTAGTAAGTTCCGCCCCCTGGCCTTAGATTAGGTTTAGAATCCTGTAGAGAGCCTTCGAAGTCTTAGGCGCATTCGTGATAAAAAATGTCGTCCGAGAGCGATTCCCAGGACATCTCGAGGACGCCCTCGATGGAGGACGAAGGCATCTCCGACGTGGAGTCCAGCAGCGGCCAGCCCTCGGGTGGTGCTGATGCCGTCCTGGCCCGGGAGGTCCAGAAGGAACTCATTGCGGAGGTCGAAGCCGAGGGCTTCGAGCAGGAGTGCGAGGATGAAGACTTAGCCCTCGCATGGCAAACAGTGGAGGATGAGGCGCAGAACGAGAGCTCGAAGGTTACGATTGCTGTTCTCCCCCCTCGGGGTTCCGGGGAGGCCAGTAGCTCGAGGCCGCTGGATCCGATACCTCTGAGGGCGGTTTCCGGTTTGAAGAAGAAGAAGGCCGCTACCAAGAAGAAGGAGAGGGTCGTCGATCAAGGAAAGCCCGTGGACATGCCCGAGGGGTACAGTTGGCTGAACACTGAGGCCCTCGAGATCAGGTCGAAGGCTGACAGGGCAGATCTGTACGTGACTCAGCTGCACGTGGGGCCCTCGGCCGAAGTGGTGGAGCCAGGTCCCGACGACGTGTTGTCCAGGGCGCCTGAGGGGTGTATCGCTATTCACGTCCTCTCGGTTTCCATGGGACTTAGGTTCCCTCTGCACCCATTCCTCCGGGAATATTTGAGGTTTGTTGGCTTGGTCCCCTGCCAACTCACGCCCAACAGCCACTCCTACATTGCGGGGTTCCTCCAGCTCTGCAAGTCCCGAGGGGTGAAGCCCAGCCTGGATCTATTCTTCCAGAGCTTTAATTTGTGCCGGGGGGGGGGGGGGGGGGGGGGCACGAAAACGGCGAGGGGTACGCCAACCTGCAGCAGATTGCCCGCTTCAAGCTATTCTCCGATGCTCCTTCTTCCAACAAAGGATG